ACTTGTCAAGTGCTGGATTCAGATTATATTATACAGCTAAGGTTTTTTACAAGCAAAATCTCGTACAGCTAAAAAGCATTTACAAAATGCATTTTTACAAAATGTTCCTACAACACATGATGCTGATACCAGAATGTTTGTTTGTTCTTGCGTTTGTTGCAAGACAATGTAGGGATCAAGAAAAGTTGAAGACAAAAGAGGTGAACTTGAAACACGTTACTTGGTGCTTAAACTACAGATTAAACCTTTTTTTTTTTTTTTTTTTACAACTAAAATCTTTAGTCTATCCTTGGTTTATTAGAAGGCTGGCTTACTTGCTAAATCCCTCTTCAAATGATAACCAAATACAAAATGAATCAATTTTCCACTAAATGAAAGAAAAAATTAGATTTCTAATTATAGAACTAGATAGCTCATTTTTACAGCAAATAAAAGAGTTTTGAATGGGTTTGATTGGACAAAATATTTCATAAGACTGTTATGAAGTTGCAGCTTGCCCCTTTATTTCATACAATGGCAGCTAAAGACAGGAAATAACTCCCCAAATGACTGAAAGGATTAAGTGGTATAGAAAACGGCTTGAGGGATGGAAAATATTCAAAGGTTTAAGTTGTCTAGTTGTTTCCAACCTCAGACGGACGGCTGCAGTGGACACCGCAACAAATCCTGGAGGATTTGGAGGAGTTGTTAACGAGTTTGTTTAAACATGTATCACACAGACTACCCCAACTGGTTTATAATAATGAGCACAAACAGAGAGAGAGCAAATTTTCATTGCCACATGGTAAGTGCTTCTATCCCCTCAGAGGAAAACATTACTATACTCTGCCTGTCTGCCGCCTACCTTGAAAAAAAATAATGCATCCGCATTTGGCATTTACTTAATCATATTTAGTTACTTTAACACAATTATTTTACATCATACCCTGCTAACATAAAACAATTGTGTTAAAATAACTAAATATGATTAAGTAAATGCCAAAAACGGTTGCATTTGTCAGGGTTTGGTTTTGGTTGTGGTTTTTAAGGACCCAAATGCAGAGGCAGGGAGGCAGAGTAGAGCTTCTTTAAGATTTAATTGAACGATCGCAAACAACTGAGGCAGGAATCCAAAAATTCGAACTTAAAATGTAACACAAACCAGAACCATGGAGACATCAGAGAAAAAGATCACATGGAGCAAGGAGAGACAAGGTAAGACAAGTATTTATGGTAGACTAAAGAAAGAGAGGACTAACGAGCAGATTGGGAGCAGGTGTGAAGAGAGGAGTCTAGAAAGGAGCTAGGGAAAAGGAGACCAACACAAGAGGGCAACAGAGAGCAACAAATAAAAACCGAAGAACTCAAATATAACCAGAAAACACAACAAAATAGGAATTAAACCAATAAAACTAGAAAAGAAGGAGCAAAGTAAAACTGAATACTCAAAAGAAAACATAACAGTGTACATTTCCACAAGTTTCCCTTCTTGATCCAACTGGTAAAGGTAAAAACTCACCTGATACTTGATATTTTATTCCACTTTCACAAATAACTCTGTTATTTCTAGTCTTTGTTAAATAAGGTCCATAGAGAGTGACGTGTTCTATACTGATATTTAAAGTAGAAAATATTCCCATCCCTAAATTTCAATTGCTTAACTGTTAAGGAGGAATGGGCTTATTCATGTGTGTTGACAGCTGTCCCTATGATCTCTATTTATTCTTAATGAATGAATGATCAGTGAGCTGTCCCAATGTTTGGAGTGGGCCACCAGAAAGGGAGATGAGCATTGTGGGTAGTCGAGAAAGAGGGGGAGGTAATGGCAGGTCAACCTGTCACACTGTCCATACTAATCCTCAGCTACTCTGTGTTTGTGTGGTAAAGTAATTGCTACCTTGTGGGGACAGCGTAAGGCTAATTTCCCAGGAATATGCTACATTGTGAGGACCTAAAGGCATGGGGAAGAGTTTTCCCCTTGGGCAAGGGGATAGCTTTAGTTGTAAGGTGAGAATTGAGTCTTGGTTAGGCTTAGGGTTGGGTAAGAGTTGGTAAGGGATTAGGGTTTTGCCATATAAATGAATTACAGTCGATGCAAATCCCCACAAAAGTGTGTGTACTGGGTTATGTTGTCTACTTAGGCCCATTTTGGGTAAATTTACTAACCTTTTGAGGACAGGTGGGCTTTGTGGGAACCAAAAGCCGTTCCTAAAGTGGTCAACCCCCATTTTTAGTGTTATGGAGTCACTTTAGAGATATGGTGTGAATTATTTAAGGATTGCTAATAATCGGTCTCCGCCAACTGACGTCAATTGTTTACCTCGGGCGCGNAACATTACTATACTCTGCCTGTCTGCCGCCTACCTTGAAAAAAAATAATGCATCCGCATTTGGCATTTACTTAATCATATTTAGTTACTTTAACATAATTATTTTACGTCATGCCCTGCTAACATAAAACAATTGTGTTAAAATAACTAAATATTATTAAGTAAATGCCAAAAAATGGTTGCATTTGTCAGGGTTTGGTTTTGGTTGTGGTTTTTAAGGACCCAAATGCAGAGGCAGGGAGGCAGAGTAGAGCTTCTTTAAGATTTAATTGAACGATCGCAAACAACTGAGGCAGGCAAAAAATCTAACTTAAAATGTAACACAAACCAGAACCATGGAGACATCAGAGAAAAAGATCACATGGAGCAAGGAGAGACAAGGTAAGACAAGTATTTATGGTAGACTAAAGAAAGAGAGGACTAACGAGCAGATTGGGAGCAGGTGTGAAGAGAGGAGTCTAGAAAGGAGCTAGGGAAAAGGAGACCAACACAAGAGGGCAACAGAGAGCAACAAATAAAAACCGAAGAACTCAAATATAACCAGAAAACACAACAAAATAGGAATTAAACCAATAAAACTAGAAAAGAAGGAGCAAAGTAAAACTGAATACTCAAAAGAAAACATAACAGTGTACATTTCCACAAGTTTCCCTTCTTGATCCAACTGGTAAAGGTAAAAACTCACCTGATACTTGATATTTTATTCCACTTTCACAAATAACTCTGTTATTTCTAGTCTTTGTTAAATAAGGTCCATAGAGAGTGACGTGTTCTATACTGATATTTAAAGTAGAAAATATTCCCACCCCTAAATTTCAATTGCTTAACTGTTAAGGAGGAATGGGCTTATTCATGTGTGTTGACAGCTGTCCCTATGATCTCTATTTATTCTTAATGAATGAATGATCAGTGAGCTGTCCCAATGTTTGGAGTGGGCCACCAGAAAGGGAGATGAGCATTGTGGGTAGTCGAGAAAGAGGGGGAGGTAATGGCAGGTCAACCTGTCACACTGTCCATACTAATCCTCAGCTACTCTGTGTTTGTGTGGTAAAGTAATTGCTACCTTGTGGGGACAGCGTAAGGCTAATTTCCCAGGAATATGCTACATTGTGAGGACCTAAAGGCATGGGGAAGAGTTTTCCCCTTGGGCAAGGGGATAGCTTTAGTTGTAAGGTGAGAATTGAGTCTTGGTTAGGCTTAGGGTTGGGTAAGAGTTGGTAAGGGATTAGGGTTTTGCCATATAAATGAATTACAGTCTATGCAAATCCCCACAAAAGTGTGTGTACTGGGTTATGTTGTCTACTTAGGCCCATTTTGGGTAAATTTACTAACCTTTTGAGGACAGGTGGGCTTTGTGGGAACCAAAAGCCGTTCCTAAAGTGGTCAACCCCCATTTTTAGTGTTATGGAGTCACTTTAGAGATATGGTGTGAATTATTTAAGGATTGCTAATAATCGGTCTCCGCCAACTGACGTCAATTGTTTACCTCGGGCGCGGTACACTACGCCTTTTTCACCTAAAATGGCGTCTTAGCAACAAATGTCACGTGACTGGCGGAGACCGATTTTCCTAAATCCGCCCCTGTTTTCAGGCTTATGTTAACTGTAATGACTTATCTTGGACAGGCTGCTATGTAAACGGGCCTTTAGTCCTTCGTTTAGCTATGCTGCGGTTGTTTACACTACGCCTTTTCCACCTAATATGGCGTCCTAGCAACAAAAGTCACGTGACTGGAGGAGACCGATTAGGGTTAACTAATTAGACATGAATGCAGAAAATAAAATGAACGTTAAGTCAATGTAGTGTGTAATGTGAATAGAAAAAAAATATATTTTATTTCTATTCATACTTAACACCGATCCATGTCTGTGAGTGTATCTCATACATTGTGAGGACCGTTTTATAGAAAAACATCATGTTGTGAGGTCCGACTGCTTCTTGTAGAGATCAATGGCTGGTTCCCATAAGTACCAAATCTGTTTTAGGGTTAGGTGTTTGGTTATGGTAAGGGTTAGATCAAAAAAACTGTTTAAAAAATGACTGAAAATATATGGAAGTCTGTAGGAGTCAAAAAAGGGTCCTCAATACATTAAGCAAGATGAGAAGGTGTGTGTGTGTGTGTGTGTGTGTGTGTGTGTGTGTGTGTGTGTGTGTGTGTGTGTGTGTGTGTGTGTGTGTGTGTGTATGCGTGTTTGTCAGCTGATCTTTTCCCAGTACTTTCCAAGGTATTGCAGGATTCCTGGAAGATGGTATGAGGAGGAGTAGAAAAGCAGAGAGGAGACAGCAGAGCTTTGTGGCTTGAAGCACTGTCTCACCCTCCTAAACGCGTAACTGAGTCAGGGCCAGAGGAGGGTGAGTCAAGCCTGCCCCCCCAACCGCCCCCAAGCCTGAGTAAACACACACCAGTGGTGTGGCTGAGGTCGCTGACCCCTGCTGGCCATTGGAGGATGATTTGGGTTCCTTGTTTTTGTGAATTAAAAACTATCCAAATAATATCTGTATTATTTTATCTGTACTGTTTTCATCAGCTCTTTATTGACAGATTAAACTATTCACCCACATCCTATTAGTCACAGCCCAAACATTTCCTAGGGATCGATCACTTGTGTTGGCTGTGCTCTGTTTGCCCTCTGGACCCCATAAAAGTGTGCCAGAGCTCCCTCAGGCTCCAGTCTGACCAAGTGTGGCAAAGTCTCTGCAGTCCCTATCTGACCAGAGAGGCCTGGGTGCACTCACTGCAGGGTGGCCATGTTTTTGAAGGCAGTAGCAGTTGGACTGCTCCTCGCTGTCTGCCTTATTGGAAGGCGTGTTGAAGGACAGAGGAGAGGTAAAGTAAGTAAAGCTTTATGTAAAAATGCCTTTAAATCAGTCTGTAGATGTAATTTAAATTTAACATGTGTTCCCTTTACTTGGTAGTGAAGTACATAAAAGCTAAAAATTTGAATTTGCTTTTGATGATCAAATAACACTCAGGTGATTTTTTTTTTTTTTTTTTGAGTTTTTTTTTTCTATTTAACAATGGTGCATGTAAGCCAAAAACACGTTATCGACTTAAACTGTAGTTCCTGAGCCAGTTGAAATGAGAGGAGTCAGATATTTGAGCAGACTTAGGACTTTGCTCGACCGTATGCCTCAAAAAACTGTTCCGTTGACAGAAAAAAAAACTATTCCTTTTGGTGCAAATGTCAAGATATCAGTTGACAAACCTGGTCTACTTGATTTTTACATTTTATTTAATCTAACTTAGCCTGGAATCAATGCATTTTAATAAGGTTTATTAACTGGATCAGATAAAAAAAACAAAGACCATCAAAAAACATATGAAATCAGTTTCAAAAAGGCTCAGCAAGACTCAAAAGCAGACAACAAATTTATGACTATAGCAAGAGACTCCTGTTGGATCAATTTTCAACTCAAATCCTATTATACCACCCTCAAAATAATACAGTACAAAAAAGTCCAAATTATAATATAAACTCGTAAATATTTGGTTTATTATTTGATCTCTGTTGGAAAGATGTTTTCTATCTGAGGAAGTCTAGCTGCATTTACTTGCTGACTTTCCTATAGCCGAGCGGTGGGCTTCTCCGGCCCTTTGGGGCTGATATCCTTCAAATTTTAGATGTTTTCCTTGATCCAACAAACCTGATTCAAATAATGAGTAATGGGCTTGATCTGAATACCTTCTGTTCCTAGCTCCTATTCCTTCACCTTTTGTATTGTCAAGGTTGAGGACTCTATCCAGGGTAGGAAAGAGGACATACATTTGAATTTTGCTTGCAAAATTAACGTAAAAGAACTACAAAAAACAAAAGTTACACAAATATACGGAATCGATGAAGCTCTCAGTTATAAAAACTTAAAGGGGGAGTGTTGGCCTAGTGGGTTAGAGCAGTGCTCTTGTGCTCTGAGAGGGTTGGAAGTACTAGGTTTGATTCCCACAGCCTGCGCACGCTGGGTTCCTCAGTGAGACCCTTAACCCTTGATTGCTCCCCATGTCATGATTTTCCTAAGAGATCTGACCCACATGCAGTAAACCACTCAGAGAACCAGGGTAAAAGTTTAACAGGTTTATTGATGAGATCAGCGGGGGTTGGATTCAGAAAGTCAGTATACTGGTGAACCGGAACTGGAAGTGGGAAGGGAAGTATCAGGGGTTAGTTCAGGGTTCCGTTGGAACTTTGAACGATGACTTGGAGAAACAGAGAAAATGGGACTCGCGTTAGTGGAAAAAACTTTCTTCCCAGAATCCAGTCGGTGTGGGTCTATCCAGAGGTAGGGGCTCGTTGGAGGGCGGACAGGTTTGACTTGGTTGGATCCTGAGGAGCTAAGGAGCGGACTTTCACTTGGAAATCCAGGAGGACTTGAACGGAACTTGTGGAGGTTAATCCCCTGCTCAGTGTGAGACTAAAAAACAATCCTTCCAGGGGAAGAAGGCCCAAACATCCAGCTTGCAGGATGGCTTCCTGCTGAAAGGCAAAGACAAAAAACAAAGTTAGGCTCAGTGAAACAAAGACTCAATTAGACTCAGCTAATCTCAGCTTGGCTAAAGTACCCAAAAATTGCAAACACTTTGGCGTCGAGGGAGTGACAGTCCCCCGCTCAAATAGTCCTCAGTGATGAGCCAACCAGCCCGCAGGTGTGTAAGAGGACCAACGAGCACAGGGCACCACCTGGTGGTGGAGGGAGAGAAAGACACAAACACACAACTCACACAAACTTGAATCCTAACACCCCATGCGCTGCACAGTTGCAACGCACTGCTCCCCAAGGGGATGGGTTCAATGCAGAGGTAAATTTCTCCAAGGTGAGCTCAAGAAAGTTCTATTATTATTAAAACATCTGAAAGTGTAGACATTAACGTGTCACACAGCGAATTTCACAAAAAATAATGCTTTTTTGTTTAACTCTGTCAGTTGGGCTCTGCCTATAAGGTCTTCCATGCAAAGGATTGCTGGCAGCCGTATGGTTCCATGTGGCGGCTAAGAACAACAGGAGGTCCTTATGCCAAATGAATTGGTGCTAAAAAGTATTCTGCTTCCTCTGCCTTGCCCCTTCCTAACTACCAGCACTATTCAGACAGTATTTATCATGCCGACTGTAAAAATGCTTCCCCTGTCGCTTAATTATCCTTGCAAGTTTGAGGTATTTGTATTGAGCCATTGACTGAATATTGAGTAGGAAATTCAGCCAGTACCTTTTAAACCTAATAAACCTCCATCAGACCTTGGCTTAATGTCTACCTTCTTTTCTGTTACCCTGTAGTCCCAATTTGACCGCATTCGTTCATGTATTTGTCCGTCGTGAATGACGTCCATGAGGATGTGTGTTCGGATTCACCAAAACATTCTGTAGCTTGTTTCCTTCCCCAAGGGCTAAAATTTGCACCGCTGCCATTCTAATATAGAAAAGGAAAGAGGATACACATAGTTAGTGGTACTGTCAAGATTTAAAAAAGAATAGTGTCCCAAGCAACAATTACTTTGTCAATACTTCCATCAAGACACCAATAAAACACAGAACCTGGAAGAACTTTCTAAGGAAAGAGGGTGAAAATGTAAACAAAGCAGCATTAGTTCTGCTAGTGGCTAAATAAGGAGGATCACTTGGCCACTTGTAGTTATCTTTGAAAAGTGAGAGTTCATGGTAGTCGTTTTTTTATGTCGTTTTTTTAAAGAGAGAGTATGGAAAGAAAAAAGGAGCAGAAAGGAAGAGCAGTCATCACTCAGTATGTCCATTTCATATTTGAAACTATATATTTCCATTTATTTTTAACATAATTTTTGTTTTTCCTTGCATCTGGTTTAACTCCACTTGCATGTGTAAATGGTGTCAGCATTGATTAAGCACCGTATTACCAAGACCTATTAAGACTTTGCCATCATGTCCTTTGTTATAAAGTGACTATGCTTTGGGTTTTATCGACACGTTTTTAACCACTAATCGATCAACATATCTGATTGGACAACACAATGAGCATTGTCAGTGCATAATAGAGTGAATGCATTAGAGTTAATTAAACCACAGCCTTATCATCATGCTCGTTCCTCCCAGAAAATAGTATCGGGGGATTCTCTCATCTACCTCGGCCAAGACAGAAACCCCTGGAAGCCGCTGATTCGCACCGCGGCCAACATCAGTGAGATCAGAAGGTGAGCAGGACGTTATTATGGCATTATAAGAAGATTTTAAATGCTTCTCATTACATAGACCGTCATATTCATTGTTCTATTGTTCTTTTTTTGGGGGGCTCTTTTTTAACACAGCATCAAGTCTACTTTTCAGTTTCGGACTTATGACCCAGAAGGCGTGATTTTCTACGGGGACTCCGGAGATGCACAGGACTGGTTTATTTTGTCCCTGAAAGATGGATTCCCCTTGATGCAGATCAGCAAAGGGGACGTTCAAGTTAGCGTGACTGGTGGGCCCAAACTGAATGATGGGATATGGCACACGGTGAGTTTCCAGTGAGGGCCCACTGGGAATCAACAGCTTTGTTCTCTGGATTTGTTTCATGAGTTTCTTTCTTTCTTTTAAGTTGGACGTGGGCAGCAAGGGAAAGTTTGTGGTTCTGGATGTGGACAACTTACCTGGGCTGGTGGTGGGAATGCACTCCCAACAGACTAAGGAGGTTGTTTCTGGGCAAATTCGATTGGCACTCGGTGGGCTCCTGGCCAGCAAGGACAAGATGATAGTTGAGGTGCTTTATTTTTACCATTCAAAACACTTTTTTAACTGTTTAAGATTAGTTGATACGTTATGACTATTAAGCCTGAATAACTGGAATTATTTTCAACACTTTTTTTGTATATTAGCCTCAGCAGAAGGACCTTAAAATAAATCATAAATAGATTGTTGCTCATTTTCACATTTTTTTCCTGTAACAAACAGTATTTCTTTAAAAATTTTTGATCATCTTCTCAGTTAAAGTTAATGTAATTTATTGAGCCTTTTTATTGCTTAGTATTTTATTATTATTATTATTATTATTATTATTATTATTATTATTATTATTATTATTATTATTATTATTATTATTATTATTATTATTANAATAGATTGTTGCTCATTTTCACATTTTTTTCCTGTAACAAACAGTATTTCTTTAAAAATTTTTGATCATCTTCTCAGTTAAAGTTAATGTAATTGTTAAAGTCTTTTTATTGCTTAGTATTTTTTTATTGCTTAGTATTTTATTATTATTATTATTATTTTTATTATTATTATTATTATTATTATTATTATTATTGTTATTATTATTATTATTATTACTATTATTATTACTATTATTATTACTATTATTATTATTATTATTAATTAGCCTTTATTTAACCATGTTAGTCCCACTGAGATCAACAATCTCCTATGCTTGAGAGACCTGGCCTAGAGGACAGCAGCATATAAGTTATAACATATAAACCACATTAGTTTTTATATATAAAAGTATCTTTTATTCTGTCAAATTAGATTCAGAGCATCAGTGAACATAAATTAAGTTATGCAACATATTCTTTGTATGGGCCATTCAAACATGAGTACGTGTACTGTCCTTGTAAACCTAAGAAAACATACTTAGAGAAAATATTTTCTTACCTCTCTTCACAAAGTGAACTTAAATGAGATATAGATTGTTTATAGACAGAGTGAAACCCTTAAAGATACAGTGGAGGATATTGTGAATAAAAAAAAGCACTCCTGAGAGGAAATGCCTATTGAACGTATGCAAGTGCGTGCAAGAGTCAATGTCTCCTCGTGCACGCTCTGTTTAAAAGTTGCTGTTTGCATCGCTCATACAAGCTTCATTTCCAAAAGATTTGCAATTTTTTCTCACTATGTCAGACTCACCATCGGTAAGTGAAAATGGGGACGAGCACATAGGATGGCCTTTTGTAAACATATCACCAGAATGATTGACAATTAGGAGGACCACTTATTTTGATCCACCCGTAAAAAGAACATCCTCTACTATACCTTCAAGCCATTATTTCTTGTAATTTTGATGATTATAGCGTGAGGATACAACCCAAACCCAAATTCCAGACTCCCAGAAAATTAGAATATAACATAAGATCAACAACAAAGGATTTTTTTATAAAGAAAATCTGCACTTTTACCCTCATGTCAGTTTAAAAAAGTATTCAGTATGTACCAATGAAATCTATCATTGTGGACAATGAAGGCTATCAGCAATGTGTATCTGTAAACATTAACTTTCTCTAGCCTTGTAGTTGGAAAGTTTTAGCTGACTTATCTGTTGGGTGTACTTGCAGCCTTCATCCATGGCGGTAATTTTTTCCTATTTCTTGTGTATCTTTTTCTGCTGGACTTTTTCCCTCCACTAAATTTTCTATTGAATATGCTTGGATGCAGGACTCTGTGAACAGAAAGCTTTTTTTAGCAGTTACTTTCTGTGGCCTACCCTCCCTGTGGAGGTTGTTAATTATTCTCCCAATGGTTGTTTAGCCAACTGACTCAGTCTAAGAGTCAATTTAGACGGTTAGGAAAACTTTGAGAGTGATTTGAGTTTATGATCCGATTAAGATATTTAACTTTTTTTTTTTTTTTTTTAAGGGTTTTTGAATAATATAAACATAATACAAAAGCAGGCCGCACTATTCAGATATCAGTTGAAAAATAAAAAGAACTTTTATAATTATTAATTTTTTTACCTACACTTCACGAATACGGCCTTATTTTTTTGCAGTTGGATCCACAGATGGACGGCTGTGTGCGGGATGGCCGCTGGTTAAACCTCAGCATGCCTTGGGAGGTGGACGAAGACGAGCTCTTACTTTGCCACCAGAACATTCAACCTGGCAGCTACTTTGCTCAAGAAGGATTCTCCCTTTTTAACACTTCAGGTGGTAACGCTGAGCTAAATTATATAATATTCAGAGGATTATAAACACCCACTCTCTCTCAGAGAAATGCTCAGATCAACAAAATGTTCTGGGAAGAATGTTGCAGTGATGTTTATGTTTAAGGTGAATTTTCCATGTTTTTTTGTTGTTTTTATTTATTTATTTTTTTTTACAGTTTTCGACATCGATGAAGAAAGCGGATTGACAGTTGGACTTTCAGGGAACTTCAGTCAGATGGATGGAACCCTTCTGAGCGTCATGTCCTCAGAGGGAGAGCTGCTGGGTGCGCTTAGAGCTGATAATAAAACAAATGTGTGTGACTGAACGTTTTTCCCTGAAAAGTTTCATTGCACATTAGCTCTAAACAAGGTTAGAGACGAATGATAAAAAATAGATTTCTGAGTTTCTCTTTCTGGCTTGCAGAAGCTTCATGTTACCATCGGAAAGCACAAAGATGAACTTACAAACAATTGCAAGAGGCTGCAGATTACTTTTTTGAGGAGTAAGGTGGAAGTGCTTCAAACCTTAGATAAATCAATTGCGTTTTCTTATGACCAAGAAAGCACCCCTGGTTACATAACAGCATTGAGAGGGGGTCGTCTAGCCATTGGAGGCCTTCTGGGTGAGTTAAAATGGATTACAAAGACCTTTACTGCTTCAGAACCTATAATGCTGTTTAAAACAAAAATTAGCATAAAAAAGAAAGTAAGCAGACTGTTCAGGGTGGTGCAAGTTCACTGTATTAATTGCCATCTTATTTCCATTTTCACTCCTCAGGTGATAGGGAAGATATGGTTGGCTCCCATTTCCTGACAGGCTGCCTGGAGAAGATCCAAATCCAAGGGAATAATATCGATCTGGATACAGCTCTCAAAGACAAGTCAGCTTCTTCTCACAGCTGCCCTGTATAGCCCCTAAAAGCATGCATGTCCTGGATAAGGACAAGATATTGGCTGTAGAGGAATTTCTTTGATGAATTATGAGTCTTTAAACAATAACTTGAGATACTTGTAAATAATTTCTATAAAAATGTAATAAAACGCATGCTAAAAAATAATATGTAATAAAAAATAAATAAATGGCAATAAAATATGCACATAATGTGAAATAAAAAAAAATCACTAACATCAATTGCAAAACTCATTTTAGAACAGCAAATGGTGACAGTAAGATGTGTGACGGTTAAACACAGCTATCAAATAAAGTCTGACTACAATAACCACTGACCAGCCAAAATAGAAAAGTGACTAAAATGTGATAAAACCCAAAGCTGAATGTAAGCAACAATAATAAAGTGATTAAATAATGTTGATAAAGTGAGGCATGGAAGGAAAACAAATTCCATCCATCCATCCATCCATCCATCCATCCATCCATCCATCCATCCATCCATCCATCCATCCATTACGCTTTATCCCTGCTGGGTCCACCCTGGACAGGTCACCAGTCCATCGCAGGGCAACACAGAGACAAACAGGATAATTAACAATTTATGCACACACTCACACTTAAGGAGAATTTAGAGACACCAATTAACCTAACAGTCATGTTTTTGGATTGTGGGAGGAAGCCGGAGTACCCGGAGAGAACCCACGCATGCTCAGGGAGAACATGCAGCTCCATGCAACTCCATGCAGAAAGATCCCGGGCCGGGAATCAAACCCAGAACCTTCTTGCTGCAAGTTCTACCCACTGTTCTCTGTGCAGCCAAAACAAATCACATAAATGTGAAAAAAAAACCCATAAAAGTGGAATTTAAAGGTATTTTGGAGGATTTTGAATTTAATTTTTTAAAAGAACTGCACTCTACACTTTTAAAAAAAGTTCACATGCATAACCCTGTACCATGTATTAAACGTGTGCAAGAGCACGCACGAGCCCATTTCTGCATGCACGCTCTGTTTAAATGTTGCTGTTTTCATAGCTCATACAAGCTTACTGTGCCTGAACACCCGCCTAACCCCTAAATCCCTCAATCACTTTATAAAATAGGACTATATAATAGACTTCATAGTGAAATCAGTTAACTGACAGTTCGGACAGATGATCACTGGTTTTTGCTCCCCTTTGGTCACTTTACTCCTCCTTCACCGTGCGGTTCCTGCGCCATCTTTGTTATCAGTCGCCGCTGTCGGATAGCGACAGCCTATGGCGACAGCGGGCCGCTGTGACAGCAAATCCCATGATGCTTTGTGAGGAGAGCTCTCTGCATATTATAGACTATATTGCCCTCTTCGGAAACTTTCTCTTCTTCTCATACACTTCGTAGACACTTTTCCTTTTACAACCCTCAGCCATTTTCAAACAACCACAGTGAGAAAGTTAAGCTTTAAAGACTGTCTGAAACCATAGGTCACCACACACATACGCCTGAAAAAGATAGCTAACGGGACGAGCATGTAGGCCGGCCTTACGTAATCGTATCACCGGAATGATTGTCAATTAGGAGGACAACTTATTTAGATGATCCACACGGAAATAAAAAATCATACTCTAGAGCTTTAAATTCTGGTATTTTGAGCTGATGGAGACACAAAATGTATTTATATATTATTTGTGTATGACTCCTGGCTGTGTTGTGTCTCTTATCCAGTCTCAGGAGCCGGTTGTTTCTCATCCTTTTCATGGTATTTTTCAGTATTTTTCCACTCTACTTAAGACTCGGACCACTGAGTTATTCTCATCAAAGACTCCTTGTATGAATTAACTCTAATATGTTTAGGAATAATAATAATAATAATTATTATTATTATTATTATTATTTATTTATTTTTTTGCAAGATAAGAGAAATAAATTGTTGGTGAGGAGGGGAGTCTGTAATTTAACTAAATATAGAGATTAACCTCAGAAATTAACCTAAATGTCTTTTTTTAAATAAAATGTTATTCTTTAAAGGATCACTAATAATGATAATATTGGTGCATTTAAAGGCTAAATGAAGGAAGATGATGCAGAGGTGTTTTTTCCCAACTTCAGACGTGGATGAACAATTCGGCGATTATGTTGCGCCCTCTCGTGGTTTAATAAAGGCACTGCAAAATGTATCTACTTCCGTTGAAAATATGAAAAAATATGTCATTGTGAAACGATAGAAATTTGCAGAAAATCAAGCAGACAACACATTTGTCATACATTTGGGTTTTTTGTTTGTTTTTTTTACTGTTTTTTTCTGCAGTTATTGGGTCAGAAAAACTACTAACAGTTTACTTTTTTCTTATGAAAACATAAACAAGTATAAACAAGACAATAAGTTGAACCCTGGTCATGATTCACAGACTGCCGTGTGGTTGCGTCCAGATAATACAGGCAAGTTTCACATAAGGCCACATATCTTAATATGGTGTTCTGATAACTCACAGGCTGTCTTCTGTGGAAATAGATTATAATAGATATACAAACAAGTCCAACAGTGGTGACAATCAGATGTTTTACCAGCTATTAAGGAAAAGCCTACAAGGTTACAGTTATCAAGCATACTCTGATCAAATGAAATACACAACTGGATAGTATGACTTAACAAATGTGCAAAAGTCACATAAATAGCTGTGCAGACATAACAGCAACAGACCTTTTAAAAGGAAACATAAAACTGTGCAATTAACATTTATGTAAATAAGTCATTGAGTATAGTTTATAAAGTTTAACAGCAGCTTAGAAGGCATATTTGCCATCAGACTACTTTATTCTCTGAGGTGTCAGCAATCTTTCACAAAAGTGTCTCTTCAGCTCTCAAACAGCTTCATGCTTGGCCTAGGAGACATTGTCCAACTTTGAAGTTATTGCAAAGGTTTTTCCTTCTCCAACCATTTGCATGGTACCTTATAGAACAGAGCTGGCCTTCCTGATGAGTCTAATTAAACTCTTCTTTTCAGTGGAATATACACTGCTCTTCAAACAAACCTGTTGATCTTTTAGGTCACAAATTTTCCCTTGAAAATCCGACATACATTTGTAAGATTTTTGTCATAAAGATGACCCTTGGTGTTTACCAAGGTGATCGTTATAATGGTTTAGGAGCCCCTTTGTGTTTTACTTGGTGGTGTCCTGTGGTGTCAAACACTTGATATGATATCCTGACTGATATCCTGTGTGATCTGTGGGGTAGTGTGTCTCATTTTTTTTTTTTTTACTAATTTATGAATTCATTATGAGGAATTTAAGTAAAAGCTAGAATGTCACATAGTGTTTTTTTGCCTTAACTTTGTAACAATGAAATACCTTGCCAAATAAAATGTCTGTAGGTGAAATAAAAAAAACAATAAAAATATAGAGGAAAAAACCATAAACATCATGAAACAAACTGTGAATCAAAAGATAAAATAAGATTGACTTCATTGATCTCACATGATCAATATATATATATATATATATATATATATATATATATATATATATATATATANTATATATATATATATATATATATATATATATATATATATATATATATATATATATATATATATATATATTGGCTGAAGTCACTTATTTAACAGGAAAACCTAAATCTTTTGATGTCATATCCATATAAAACAGCTAATGTCTTCAAATAATTCTATCCTATTATTTGAAACAGACAATGCAGATATTTGTTAACATGCTCATAACAAAGTTCAACATGTAAATATGCCAAATTTTGCCATTTTTATGGAAACCTATGATGCTCCCACAGAGAAGGCTGACTGCCCAAGACTGCTTTCCTAAAAGGAATGGCACAGTCCCCTCTGCTGTAGGATCGAGTGCAAACACTGTTTTTTTTAGATGGATATATTCATGAATAGCAAATAGAGCCAGTCCATGGAAGGTTTTATATACCAGTAGAATATTAGGAAACTTAATCCTTTGAATTTTTGATGTGAATTTTAAGAATTAAGTAAGAGCAACAATGGAAAGCATGTGCATATTGAGATGCGGGGTGACTTGGTGGATCAGTTTGGATGAGGAGTATAAACATAGATATATCTAAAAAGAGGTATAAGGAAGTATTTCTAGAAAAGTACTGGGAGAAGGAGGAATTAAATAGCTGTATATATTATAAATATCACTACATGGAAACGCTGTATAGTCTAAATATGTGTATATTCTGTACAAAAGTAGAATTTATTGAAACTTTATATGTTTATAACAGAAATAAATTTCATTCATTAATTAATTCATGTTCCGATAACTGTAAAAGAAAGTATAATGAAAGAAAATAACAATGATGTCAAGTGTTTGGGGCTTTTTTGTTAAGTTTTGAGAGTTTGTTTTTATAATCTCTAAACTGGTTGTAATGTGGATTTACAGGTTTGTGCGCAACCAGTCAAACAGAGGATGTGTGAAAGGATTATGGCACAGACATGTCTTTGAAACCTCAGTTGTTAAATGATTACGAATGTGTCTGTGTGAGCAAGATTTATTTTTACTGCATTTATAACCTGTTTCACATGGGATTTGCCCTCTGGTGGTTAACTTTTAAAAATACAATAAAATCATAAAAATACGCAAATAAATAAATAAATAAAACAGGATGAAATTATTGAACGTGCATTTCATAAATTATACGGTAAATTTCTTTTGATTTCTGTTTTTAGAATTGTGATAAAGTGTTTTGTAATTTATCATAACCTTACATAAATGTAGAAATGTTTTAATCAGTTAATTTTATTTTTATTATAATACAATAATCACAGATGTAAATATTTATTAACGGGTTTTCTATTTTTAAATTTGTGCCACTGCTGCAAGTTTGTTTACTGTTTAGCTCTGACGCTAAGAATATCACTACGACAACAGAATCGCCGTCAAGACAAGGGTACCGTCGCAAAACCAGGGTGTCGTAAATCCTGGCCGCCCCCCTGAAGATGGCGGCGGAGCTGCATCCGCGGAGCGGAAAGCTTATCGGCCTGTCCAACTCGAACCGAACCGCCAGGCGCAACCAGCCCATCCAGGAGTTCAACCACGGCCTGGTTTTCAGTAAGGAGCCCTTGAGGGACCGGGATGTCTTCACCGTCCGTATTGACAAGAAGGTAAACAACTGCAGGCCCGCCGGTGGTTCCTCCAGAGCAGAAGTGGGAGCGCCCGGGAGGGAGGGGGGTTCTGTGCCCGCAGTGAGGGGCTTCAGCCTTCTGCGATGTTCAAACAACCTGACAGCCTCAGTATCTTAATGAGCGCCTCCATTAGCAGGGTTTCCTAATGGGGGAGCAGCGTCGGAGAGTAGATATGTTAAACGGTTAGCTTAATAGCGATAAACCGCTCCTGCAGCTTTGGTACCGACAGTTAGCTGCGCTAATGGGTTCTTAGCAGCAGAAACACAGGGACTGTTCGGGACCAGCCTCTCTGGAAGGTAGCCGTTGGGACCGTTGGGTCCGGTATGGGGCCCCAGGTTTCGTTTCTGTCTGGGAGGAGCTGATTTGGGCTCGTAAACAGCTTTGTTCTAATGGAGTTAGCTTATCTCAGACCCGGTTAGCACCTTCTAACTGCTGTTAATGTTAATGATAAGCAGAACTTGGCCTCCTGGTCAGTCACACACAGCTTCTTCACTTGCTATTACTCATTAATTACTTTATTCTCTTGTCAGTTCTACCGATTTCTCTCATTTTGGTTTTTTTATTTGCACAATATAGCTTTGTAGGAATATCACTGTATTACTTCTATAGATGACAATAATAGATTCAGTCTGTTTGATGATGTCTGTCTGCAGTAGACCTGCACCTGTGACCACCATCACCTGTGTCAGGTGGTTTTAATCCAAACAAAACATTTTGCATTAAAGAATATTTCCCTAAACTTGATCTGATTTATAGCAAAGTGAGCAAACACCATGCAACATACCAAATGCCATTATTCTTATTGACCATTCAGGCAAACTTGTGTGCATACATAATATTTAACTTTCCACACACTAAGAAAATTTAGTATTTTAAAGCAAAACCCGAACCAATTGAAAGGAAATCATCTTTTAGTAGGAATCTTGTAAAATATAGCAAAGAGAGATAAACTGATACATTATTTGGTTGATATTTTAGGCCAATATTTATACATTTTTATGTTGTTGTTCTTTTTCTTGTATTTGGGTTCATTAGCATATTCAGCAAACATGCCTTCTTATCAGTTAAAAGTATTTTATGTAAATAGACTTAGAGTTAGACTCAACTTTATTTATCCCTTAGGATTGATTACTCCTTCAGGGAAATTCTGGTTCCAGTAGCTTATATAGAGTAAAAAGTCTTATAATGAAATGCCATAAAGATGAAAATATAAAAAAGAGTGCATATAGTACAAAAAAAAGCATAAAAAAGAAAAAAGTTGTGAAGTCCTTGAATATGTTTCCCTTACAGTAGTTATAAAAAAAATCTGCACAGTAGAGAGCTAAGGGAAGACTACACAGTAGTTGACTTGGGTTATTGCACTTGCACTGCAGAAATGTACTGACCATATAGATAAGTGAAAATTATACAGACTACACAGTAGTTTACTTGGATAATTACACATGTACTGCAGAGAATCAGCCCGCTTAAATCTGCATCAAATATTAGGGATCAATTAGACCACCGCCATAACTTTCTGAAGGACTGGTGTGAACATGTCCCCACCAATAATCTC